TAAAGCTTGTGAACTAGAGCTGTGAATTAAGACCGATTTCGTGGCGATTCATTGTGCACTGACCAATATGTGTTATTTATATGCATGCATCGGAAACAAATAACGAGAAATGAAGATATGAATTTTATGATTAAGTTTTCCTTCAAATTTTGTTGAAATGCAATCGCAAGTAAAGAAAAACGCGAAAATTGAAGAAGGTACATCGTGTAAATCTTTTGGGAAAAAACTGCTCATGGGAAAGTATCCCGATATATACTACATTGAAGACTATAACCTTTTGACAGATCTCTTAAACATTACACAGAAAAAACTAGGTATAATGGCAGTACCCCAGATAAAAGTGTCTAGACTATGAAAATAACTAGACATGATAAAAAATGTTTTATCTAGTCGTGCATGCAAAGACGACAGTCGTTGGCAGATGATCAAAAGAATACTTGTCCGCCCTAATATATGATGAGTTACACACACGATCTCTTTAGTTGTCATGAAACTTCTGATGATATATCAGGTTTATATATCATATTGCAATGATAAACGTTTTGATTTGAAACAAAACATTCTACTTTTTTTTTCATAACATATTTTTTATTGTTTATTCTAGTGAAATTTGCCTTGATTTAAAGAGTCTCCAATTCCCTTTTTGGTCTTCAGTAGGGGAAATAGGTGTTTTGTGTTAAGATGAGATAAGTAGGTTATGGCTTTTGGACTTATCATGGAAAATGAAAAAAAGTATATACGAGGGCGACAAAATGGGCCAGTCTTGCCAGGTATGTTTATACTTTAGTCAAGCTTGAGAACTCTTCAATGCATCTAAGTTTCTGTTATGCAATTTATGGATCAAATGTGTTTTCTCCTTTTTCAACATCTTAAACGTGATTCAAATTCTTTCAAACAATTTTTTTTCGAATTAAATATTTGGTTTCAATACGGAGAAAATCCATGAAATCGTAGAATGAATAAACATTGATAAACAAAACCACTCCGTTTATTGGTACATATACTATAAAGCAGAACAACATATGATCCTTTCTGGAATTATTTTTCTTGTTTTTTTTTATTCAGATTGGATCATGAATACGTAATTACATGTACATACAAATGTAAACATTATTCAATTATAAAGTTAAATACCATTGATTGATAATGTTGTTAGTTTTTCTTTCTTTTATTCTATTTTTTTTTTGCGGGGGGTGGGGGGGGGGGCGGTTGGGGTTGGTTGGGGTTGGGGTTGGCTCTTTTTCGAACATTTAAAATGGCTTAGGTCTACCTGATTTCTTCTGTTTACATGTATATATATTAAATTCGGTATCAATATTTTAGATTAGTAAAGCAACAAAAAATTGACAGACCAAATGATTTTTCCAAACATGTAATTAATCACAAAGTCCTTTTATCGATATCAATGTGGTCTGCTAAAATAACAAGAAATTAAAAAAAGATCAAATAAATAAATAAGAAAAGAATCATAATCCAAATCCAAATTCAATACAACTAGGGCAAATTAGGATTGTGAACAAAGACAATGAAATTTCTGAAAACGTACAATGATATTACGTAGGTGTAGTAGTTGGTGACTACCTACATGAACAACATATGGAAGGCACATTGTATGCCATTTAAATAAATTACATGTGTGATAAAAGTGCCTTTCCTAATGATACAGCGATGTCAGCTCACACAGGTCCGCTTCTCAGCTTCTTTAGAAAAAGAAACCGTCACCGGTAGGGAGTGGAATCCAGAATTTTCGCCTGATGTTACCTATGTGTACCTTGTATGTTAATGCTTTAGCAACTGAGCTACCAATTAGGGTACAGATGTCACATGTCTGTTTCTAAATTGTTCGTAACAAATCAATCATCTTTTACGTCAAACGCTGGTTGAATTATAGGATTTTGACAAATTTATGTACACTTGTTATGAAGCAGTCACTATGACTTGATAAATCAAGTTAAAAAGTTGAAACATGTGTGTTTTGTTAATGCCACGATATTACCAAACTTGAGTGACTGTAATTATATCATGATTAGATGGGTAACGCCTACCTCCTTTCAGGAACTGTCTGTGTCAGTGTCATATGTAGCCTTGGTCAACCAAATTGCGACTATCTTAATATTGTGTTTCACTTAAGTTTGACTGTTGAGAAATTAGTTTGCCTAATTTTATCTTGAAAAAGTTGAAAAAATAAATGTAATATAAGATGATAATAATAAATTATGCATATTATGTTTAATGGATTTCAAATAAATTAATATTTTGTTTGAAAATACATGGTGGGTCTTTGTTGATGATGATGATGACGATGATGCATAGAATAGAAAAATGATTTCATTCATATCTAATTTTCTTGTTTTGACTAGAAGCTTATATATTGCGTGACTCATCGTTTAGTATCTCTATATAAACAAGACATTTCATGCATTTAGGACAGTAGTAACGTATCAGTCATTATCATCATTAGTCAAAATGTCATTCAATGAAGGTGAAAATCTGAGATGTCTTTCATGATTGACATCATCGATAACGATGAATTGTAGTTGGTACATATTTTCAAAACATTTAATATGAATCACCATTTTAAGACTCCTTAATCCTCTTTTATATGAAGCTGATTTGGTGTAGAGACAAAATCAAGTGGCAATTCAGTTTCATTTTCATGCGAGGTCACCTTGTATTAGCTATTGGTTACATAATTGACCAACATTTGGAGGTCCGTCGCATGGAATCTTGGGTAATTGAGGTGAAGTGCCTTGCCATAGGACAAAATGAATACCACACAGAATGGGCATTTTCGCAGATGTGATATATCCAAAACATGGAATTAGGAAGTTTTTCTTCACAGTACCTGACTATCAAAAGGCTTCATCTATACAGAAATATCACCTGAAAAACATATCATAGTAACTCATAATAAGTTCAAGGTCATTAAGGCCTCGTTCTGGAAATGTATGCGTATTCTTCATAAGCCACACCCGCCATGGAAGTTTTATATAACCAGACTAAGTGATGTAAAGTTCCCAAATGAGAACAGTGTAAACAGTAAAGAAACCACCCGGCACACTGAACGTCTTAAAAAATACGAAACAGAATATTTCCTAAAGAGATAATTTTGTGTCTTTCCTGTAAGCAACATCAGACCGAAACTCGCTTCCTTTTCCTGCAATCAAAGACAATCATTCTACCTTTTATAGTACCTTCGTGACATTCAATATTACACTGAAACCAGAGAGGTCATTGATCACGATAACAAAACGTCAATACTAAGCAGTAATGTATGCCGTTCATCATGAAAATTAGCTTATATGTTTGTCTTGTTATATCAGAAATTACACGAAGACAGAACATAAAAAATCAGAACTAGCAATAAATCCAAATTACCACGTCAATGGGCGGTAGGGTTCACAAACAGATAGAAAAGATACATGTAAAAGTATGTTGCTTCAGACCTTTGGCAAGTCTTGTGTGCAAAGAGTGGTGACCATATTTCGTCTCCACCTTCATCTGTATAGCTTCGTCAAATACGTATTTCAACCATCATTTCTATATCTATTTACATTCCAAGAATCCCAGACAGGTTCTAACCTGTTCTTTTGATAGTAAACAATATCTGAATTTTCCACATTTTCTTGTATCAGATGAAAGGGTTAGTTATTACTGCTCCCTTACGTGACAGTGTTGTTATTTTGGAAACTAACAAGGAATTTTAAATCATGCGTGTTTAGCTATATATTGAAATACTGCTATTCGCTTTGAGAATTTTTGGATTACAGAATATGTATGTCTTTATTTTCACTACGTATGTGTGTATATGTATTTTTGTGTCACGCTTATGCCTAGTAAAATTTAAACACTAGCAATTCGCTAAAACCAAAACTGCATTAATTGTGGAAATGATAAGGCGACCAGGTTTGGTATCATAATGTATTATTGCACTGGATAATGGAATTACTGAATTCTGTTAAATTTTTTGAAGAATAAATGAACGTGCATTCTGCTGCTGCTTAAATTGTTAACACAAATATTGCTAGAGAAGGTATTTAAATACATCTGTATTGAGTGAAGTAGTCAGTTTGTTCTTTGACCTTTCAAAGGAAACAGCAAACACAACAGAATATTGTTTGAAATTTTTGCAACTTAATATTGTTTGACACGCTTAGGTGGCCCATTTTTTAAATTTTTTATACAAAAGTAAAAATGTTAAGAACATGAACAGTTTGATGACGTTATATGTTTACAACGGTCGCTGCAATTCATTGTGCATCACTTCAAACGTCACTGGTCTCACGTGTTTGTCTCGTTTGAGTAATGAGGCGTTTAAATTGATTGATGTACATGTATTTCTAAATGATAGGATGTTGTAGGCAACACGAAAAGTTAATAATATACATCAAATCTGACAATATTATATATATATATATATATATATATATCAACAGTTCATGTATTTTGATTTGAGCAGTTATTTATATAATCTATTGTATAAAAGACATCTATAAATCGCAATCATATATATGTGTATATATGTATATATATATGTATCATCAGATATCAATGTAAGTCCTAATCAACAGAAAATGATATAGAAAACGATTACACTAAAATTACTGGGTTTTTGTTTTTTTTCTACATTTTTTTTTTTTACTTTTTTTATGCCGATGACTAAGTGCAAATCTTTCAAGTACCGTATGTGCATAAAGAATATTGAACAATCTCACATTTAGCCATATATATTCCCGAATACGAAAGAATATCATTATTTCACAAAGCTATTTCGTCTCCTCCTCCTTCCTCCTTCTCCTCCTCCTTCCTTCCTCCTTCTCCTCCTTCTTCTCCTCCTCCTTCTCCTCCTCCTTCCTCTTCCTTCCCCCTTCTCCTCTTCCTCCTTGTCCTTCTCCTCTTCCTCCTTTTTCTCCTCCTCCTCCTTCCTCCTTGTCCTCCTTCTTCCTCCTTGTCCTCCTTCTTCTCCTCCTCTTCCTCCTTGTCCTCCTCCTCCTTCCTCCTTATCCTCCTCCTTCCTCTTTCTTGTCCTCCTTGTCCTCCTCTTCATCCTTGTCCTCCTTGTCCTCTTCCTCCTTCTCCTCCTCCTCCTTCATCCTTGTCCTCCTTCTTCCTTGTCCTCCTTCTTCCTCCTTCTCCTCCTCCTTTTTCTCCTCCTCCTTCTTCCTTCTCCTTCTTCTTCCTCCTTCTACTCCTCCTTTTTCTCCTCCTCCTTTTTAATCTTCCTCCTCCTTCCTCCTTCTCCTCCTCCTTCCTTCCTCCTTTTTTTCCTCCTCCTCCTTCCTCCTTGTCCTCCTCCTCCTTTTTCTCCTCCTCCTCCTTTTTCTCCTCCTCCTCCTACTCCTCTTTCCTCTTTCTTCTCCTTCTCCTTCCTCCTCCTCCTTTTTTCTCCTCCTCTTACTTCTCCTCCTCCTCCTCCTTTTTCCTCCTTCCTCCTCCTTCCTCCTTGTCCTCCTCCTCCTCCTTCTTCTTCTCCTCCTCCTTTTTCTCCTCCTTCTCCTCTTTCCTCCTTCTTCTCCTCCTTCCTCCTCCTCCTTTTTCCTCCTTTTTCTCCTGCTCCACCACCTTCCTCCTTCTTCTCCTCCTTTATTTCTCCTCCTCCTCCTTCCTCCTTCATCCTCCTCTTTTTTTCTCCTTCCTCCTTCTCCTTTTTCTCCTGCTACTCCACCTTCCTCCTCCTCCTTTTCCTTTTTCTCCTGCTCCTCCACCTTCCTCCTTCTCCTCCTCCTCCTTCCTCCTCCTCCTTTTTCTCCTGCTCTTCCACCTTCCTCCTCCTCCTCCTCCTTTTTCCTCCTTCGTCCTCCTCCTCCTTTTTCTCCTGCTCCTCCACCTTCCTCCTTCTCCTCCTCCTTTTTTTCCCTCCTCCTCCTTCTCCTCCTCCTCCTTCCTCCTCCTTTTTCTCCTGCTCTTCCACCTTCCTCCTCCTCCTCCTTTTTCCTCCTTCGTCGTCCTCCTCCTTTTTCTCCTGCTCCTCCACCTTCCTCCTTCTCCTCCTCCTTTTTTTCCCTCCTCCTCCTTCTCCTCCTCCTCCTTCCTCCTCCTCCTCCTCCTTTTTCTCCTGCTCTTCCACCTTCCTCCTCCTCCTTTTTCCTCCTTCGTCCTCCTCCTCCTTTTCCTCCTTCTCCTCCTCCTTCTCCTTCCTCCTCCTCCTTTTTTTTCCTCCTCCTTCTCCTCCTCCTTTTTTCCTCCTCCTCCTTCTCTTCCTTCCTCCTTCTCCTCCTCCTTCCTCCAAATTAAACTACTTATAAACATAAGCATGACAGTTAAAATGAAGACCGAATTGAATTGAAAAAAAGAAACATTTCTATTATAATAATGAAAATAGGAACTGCACACTCAGAAGACTTGGTTGAATCAATTACAGTATCTCTTGCTAGGCTTAGACTGGGTTTTTGTGGTGACTGAATTTTATAATTTTCTTTCCTGTTCAGGGAAATAAGTTCGTTATGCAAATGAGTCTATCTAAGAAAAAAATATTGAACTGTCTGGTGATTTTGATTGATGTAATGGTGTTGTAGATGTATAGATTTTTGACAGGTTAATGACTTGGACTATCTGTTGGATATCCGTCCATCAGCTTAATGGCGAATTCGGATGTAAACATTCAAAACGGTATTTTTGCAAAGACATTCATAAGATAAGTATTTGTCAATTTCATCAAATAGAAGAAATAGATCTGCTTTGTTTTTTATTGAATTTCTAATTTATTTGATTACTTTATTAATTCATTTTGAAACTTGATCTACTGAATCTGTGACTATGATAATTTGTCAAACATGTGTCCATATCTTAAACTTTAGCTGGATTAATAAGCTTAGTTTAAAATTAATAATATTCCTGATTAATATTCATATGAGCATACATTAACGCTATAAATTACTAAGATAACTCATTTAAACATTTCGTGCATATTGAACTATTTTTAAAATAAATCGAAATTTAAAAACTGAATTACCGTTAATCTAACAACCCCTCGATATCAGATGGAACTGAATTCTTGATGAATGACGTCGACATGTAGGTGTGAAATACCTTTTTAATTTTATTTTATTTTCCTGATTGAACAATTCAGTGATGTAATTAGTCGTCACACAAATGATTATAGATCGTTGTAGGCACATTTGTTTTCTTCTGCTTTAAACTGGAGCTAATTTGACAGCAGATCAGTCAACACTAGTCACTGGTTTGTATAAATAGCTTCGACAAAACAGAAGTTCGTCATCACACATTACCAACAGGCGCTTCAGGTCGAACAGGTAACGTTATAGTTTGAAGACGTGATAATTGCTGTAACATGTATCTAACATAGCGTGTATCTTTGATAGGTAATGTAAATTTGTCTATACACTATTTTTTCTATACAATCAGTTAATGTATACCCGAGTATTTGAAATTGTATAACGTCTCATTTTTGGAATGATTGCTTTTTTAGGCATGACATTGGATAAAAGTATAAACAAATATCATGATTATCATTTGTTATGCTTTAGAAATTTTGTTTATTCTGTCACTTTCGTCCGTATATAGTGTGTTTATTTATTCATTCATTTATTTGTCGTTTTTACTAAACGTTACAATTATTTCTTTTCTTTTTCATTTATGCATGCCACCTTTTGCCACATTTTTTTGTATAAAAAATCAGTATATTGAGTTTTTTTACAATCAATATCGCAATGGTATATACTATATATAGGATCAGATTTCTTAATACAATGATTTTTTAAAAATGTTGACAACATAATTAAAGTCGTCTTTGAATCAACATCTAAATAAGTCATTGGAAGTGGAGCAAGAAAGCACGTGGAAGATATGAGATAGTTAACCTGCAAAATTTTTCGCAAGCTTCAATGATTTTACTAAGGGAGAATTTTTATCTTACCGCTAATTTCAGAAACTTAAATTTAAAGTAAATGAAATCAAAGTGAATTCGTACATGAACTGACCTATTAGAACGCAACCTAATACTATTCTTCTTTTTTAATTGCAGATCTAAAAAAGGCGAGTATTTAGTAGGTGTTGTTTGAGAAGCTTCAATATGCTTGCATATACAATACTGCTGATAGCCTGTGCGCTGGCTGTGAGCTCTGCTTCAAAGGCCACCGGTGGTTTCGTTGTTCGAGGACACGGCGCGGTGCACCCACGACCGCACTTGCTGACCAGACACGTGGTAAAGCATACCGGAATAGTACGTCCAGCTGTTGCCATTGGAGGCATAGGATCTCATAAAGTCATTCCTAGTTCAAAGCATGCGACTCATGGTACTGGGGTACACACATACCATAGTGCGGGTGTCAACGGAATTGTCGGGAATGTAGGCGTAGGTAGTGTTTTGGCGAGTCCAGGTGTTGTACAGCAACAAATCTTTGCTTCAGGTCCCTATCAAGCCAATACAGGTGTGTCCACATATGATATCAGTGTCGGAAACACGGGAACAGTGTACAGTGATCCCGGGGCATCCTTAGCTCTCCTGAATACCCCGGTCAGCGGCCTCAGCTTCAATGCTCCAACTTCAAAAAAGGTAACGTATACGTATCGATAATTTTTTTTCATCAAAATAATTACACGCCTTACATTATCAATCTACAAATATGTGTTTATTCTCCATTGCTACTTGTTATGTGGATTTTTTAAAGAGAATAAAGAATATTAAAGACGATAAAATAAGAACATTTGAAAGACGACTTGCTTGGTGAGATTAACGCTAAAAATTAAAATCTCGTGAGTAGTGCATTTTTAGTGTTGTTTTAAAAAGATATGATAAAAGTATTACACGACGACTTTACCCTAGTACATCATGTAATATTGTGGAAAAATGTCTTTTCCGTTTACACATGATGTAAAATTATTTTCTCCTATAGGCTGTTCTGCTACCATGCGTTTTTATTTTCTCTTTCAATGAAATGTAGTTTTCTACGTCTTCGAGGTTAAAGAGTAAGCCTTTATCATCACTTACGAGGTCTAGATAGGCAAACAATGTTGTATGATGTTTCATCTGTGACGAGTCCTAGAAGGACGAAACATCTGTAGGATGTAGCATCAATGATAAGTCTTAGAAGAACGAAACAGCTGTAGGATGTAGCATCATTGACGAATCTAAAAATGACGAAACAGCTGTATGTTGTAGCATCACTGACAAGTCTTAGAAGGACGAAACAGTTGTATGATGTTTCATCTGTGACGAGTCCTAGAAGGACGAAACAACTGTATAATGTAGCATCAGTGAGGAGTCTTAAAAGAACGCAACATCTGTATGATGTAGCGTTGCTGTCGAGTCCTAAAGGACGAAACAGCTGTATGTTGTAGCATCACTGACAAGTCTTAGAAGGACATTACAGCTGTATGATGTAGCATTATTGACTTGTCTTAAAAGGACGTAACAGCTGTACTTTGTAGCATCACTGACGAGTCTTAGAAGGACGAAACAGCTGTATGATGCAGTTACTGCTTAGGTGGCTCCACTCTGTCTAATTCAAATATCATATTAAAATGTACTACCTATTTACAAGTGCGTCTATTGGTACAATCTTAACGCATACACGATTTTTATTGGAATGCTGGTTAACAAAATCAAAAATGTTTTAACATGCATAGCCAAAATATTCAACACATGATATTTGTTTCACATACCGAGTCTATATGTCACATGCGGATATTCTCTGTATATAAGGATATGTATAAAATATGGTACTAACTTTAAGCTATGTTTATGGTATTTTTCAGGCGGCGATAGGAAGCTATTAGCCAGGAACACGAATCACCTTGCTGAATTTACGTGAATCACCTTTTGAATGAAAATTTATCTATTTTGTTTTATAAAGAGTCTGTATTGGAATTGTTTGTTGTTTTTCCATGTGAATAAAATCAAACAAAATTAAAATGGAAACACATTGTAAATCATTTTTTCAACATGTCAGGCAGATCACTTTTCTATGCATGATTTACCCTACCGTATTAACATATGTCAACATAACAAAGTGTGGACAGACAAACATTCACACATCGTGTTTTGGACTTGTGGTTGCATTTTTGTGACGATTTTACTGACCAAGGAAAAAAATAGCATAATTATCTATTCCTTGAAGAATACAATGAACGAGTAAAAAATATAAACCGTTCACTGAAATTCCTTGACGTTTCAAGGAAAGATTACATGTACTAGCCAGTTCTATAGAACTCCACCAGCTTATCGATTATATCCTGACAACAATAAAAAAAAACAATTCATTATTAATTGTATTTTAATTGTAATGTTATTTACCACAAACATTTCATTTTATCGAATTATTTATTCTTTAAATGGGAATTTAATGAAATTATTAGACAGGTGCCCTTTCCATCGAAATTTTGTCATTTTCTTTCAATAGATGTTGATTTCCCTCTGTCGAAATGTACGCCTTTTGCACCAGTCACGATTCCTAGAAGGACGAAACAACTGAATGATACAACTAATACATTAAGATGAAAGGTTCTAGTAACTGGTGTGTCTTGTATAGAATATTCTATCAAGTGAATGCAGTTCGAAACCTTAGTTCGATAATTTTTTGCTACTTCTTTAACACAAATTTGTAACTTGAATCTACGAAAGTGCAATAATATTTCTCTATAAAACAAACATGTGGTAGGAATCTGGGTGTGTGTAAAGAAATAAATATATGTTGACTGCAAGACCTGCCATTTTTGTCCGTTGAAAAAAAATGGATGGGGGAAGGGCGGGGGAGGGGGAGGGGGAGGGGCATAAACTTGTATGGCACTGCAAAATATTGGCAAAATACCAAATTACTTTCCGATATATGAATATTCTCCATGTTCTATCTAGTACCTCCTTTAAATGACTGTCCCAGCTTCCTTCTTGTGTTGGAAGAAAAGAGCAAAAGGAAAAGTAGTATTTTTCAAAATTAACACAACAGTAAGGAATATACAAAATGTATGGCCGTTATGATCGTTGTTTAGGAATAACAACATAACACCAGATTCAGTAAAACGACGACAACGTGATTAAGTGTCAACGGAAATATTTTGAACAAAGGTACAAATAGCTGCTCTTGTTGATTTTTTCCAGTTTATCAATTTGCATGCGAGGCATAGACATTGTCTTTTATTGTTTTGTTGCTAAATGAATCAACATATACCTGATAGGGCTTTTTCACAGGCTCTCTTCTTATTGTCAATACGTTTTACTTTGTCAAAGAATATCAAATTTGTTGGCATTCTTCGGACAAAAAGCCAAGGGGAAAAACAACAATAATAGAATTTAGAAGATAAACATATTTGATATCGTCACGCGTCACTTTTACATTATATTACGAAGGAAAACACCAGATTCAAGACGCCCATGATATACATAAACTGACTTCGTGAAGCTGGTGTTATTCAGGGAGGTTTGATAAAGCTACTGGTCCATGAATGTGGCTAGAAATACATAGTTTGTAAATGATTGACAGTAGAAGGGAGGTAAGTCTGATTTTTCATAAATTTTATGACTGGAGGGAGGGGGGAGGGGGGACACCACATTTATCATAATACCCTGGTCAACATTAAATAGATAAATAGATCGTTAACAAATAAAACAAAGGTATCAAAACCTGAACCAACGAGTATCGAACACACTGCATACAAAGATTCAAAATTACTACAATATGTAGTCAAAACTGAGAAAATCCCTATATCATTGCGGTCGTTTAGCATATTTATACTGCCGAGAGAAATTATTTTTCCCCTCGAGGCCATGGTCTATAAAACCTCTTCATAGTCTTCTCTCAAGATCATTTGTTGTACTTGTATTAAATACCCGTCAACATATTTCACAATATTGTACAGTTAGCTTGTTGGTTCCGTTGTATTATACTTTGGTCTCGTTTGAGAACGAGACATAAATTATTTGGGCTGACCAAAAATTACACAAAAGATGTTGTCGATTAAGCAGAAGAACAGAAGAAATTTACTCTTTCGGAACAACATCTAGTATAATTATCTTGACACTTTTTCAGGAGCCTGTGTATTTTTGCCTGTTTGTTATTGGTTTGTTCCTACTTTGCCCAATTTTTTTAATTGCATTTGAATTATGATTCTGTTTCCATATTAGTATTTCTGATTGTTTTAATATTTGGAATATAACTTCGATGGCCATATATAAGTACCATTGGGTTTTTATAACAGAAAACTTACTATCTAAAAAAAATCATAACAGCGGAAATTGATATGTACATTTATCATTTTGAGACGTAGATAAATTGGTTTTGGTTCGAGATTAGCGGTAGATGCTGTATAGTCTGTCGTTATTTTCTTTTATCGGGTGCGTGGACATATCCTGTTTCCTGTCCTGATAATGCTTTCGATAACTTCTGCCTCGTCTGACGACAAAACAAAGCCAAAAGATGGGCACGGCCCTTTAATTCCAGTAGAATGATTTTAAATGCAATCCGTTCCAATTCTTAGATTTTTTTCTAGAAAAGTGATATAATTTTTTTAGAATACATGTAAGTTTACCAATTAAGATTCGTACATGTAAAATGTAGTTTTTAAGCGAGACGTTGTAAAACGAAATAATTACTTTGGTAATTGACGAAAATTTCAATACTTCTTTTTTTTGTCATATTTCAGCCATCGAACTCGTAATTTGTATAAGGATAGACGACACCTTGAGTAAAGCTATTTCATCTGACTCATGGAAAAGTCTTTTGATTAGCATTAAAATATTTCTATTCTTAATCAAGATCGCATCCTGTCGTGCTTTTCTCCCTAATGGCTTTTAACCTGGAAAGAAAGGTTGATATAAGCTCGAGAATACCAAATAAGACAATACTATTACAGAGTTACAACTTAATGAAGATAAGCAAACATGAACATCGCATTTTACGAAATTAGTGATACACGTTCTAAAACTTTGAAATAGTGTTTAGATATTTAATATCACTGAATTGTATACAAGGCGTGCTTATTGAAACAAACTATACTAGTCAATGGCCAATGAAATATACCATCGAAATTATCGGCTTGCGAAATTAACATAAAAGTAAGTGCTGCTTGTATACCATGATAGAGAGGTGTAAATCCGCACGTGCCGACAATATTATATACGTTTGGATTTGCACTTTATTTCAATTCTATCACCAGTTCCCCGTTTGATTCTTTGAAAACCAGATGGAAGTATTTAAGGCTATGCACCCATCTGGTCAAGCGTATGAATACACATTTGGTGGTCAAGGTGAGACGTC